CTGTTGAATGATGATGCATGGAGGAAATTGTAATCACTGCAATGAAATGATCGTGTAAAGCCAATGTCCTCCCATGTAAACTATCACTCAGTTTATAATTTAAAAAATTTTTAATTTTAATTTAAAAAAGAAGAAGAATTACTTGAGATTTTAAATAATACATGCTATTTTAAAAACTTTATGGGTTAGGAGGCTCTTCAGAAATACCACATAGAATCTGTGTACCGAATAGTTAGGTCAACTTTGCTAAAGTCAAACATCACAAGTGTTCAGAGGCCTGCTCTCCTACTTACCAGCAGGGCAACCTCAGACGTGTGACTAAGTGAAGCCTTGCTAACTACAATGTTGTTGCATTGTCCAGTCAATTCTGATTCATAGTGACCCCATAGGATTTCAAAGACTATAATCTTTACAGAGGAGTCCTAGTTAAGTGTTTGGCTGCCAACCAAAAGGTAGGCAGTTCAAACCCACCAGCTCCTCTGTGGGAAAAAGATAAGTCAATCTGCTTCCATAAAGATTCTGCTGTTATTAAATACCGTGCAGTTGGTTCCAATTCACAGCAACCCTGTATAGCTGCATTAAGGAGGCAACTTTCAAAAAATGGAGTTACTGTACTGGGTGATGTGAGTGACTATGATTACCAAGGGGAAACTGGATTTGATAGTACATAATGGAGGTAAAGCAGACTATGTGTGATATCCAGGAGATGCCTTAGGACGTCTTTTAGTACTACCATGTCCTGTGATTAAAGTCAGTGGTAATTTACAGCAACCCAATTCCAACATGACTATTAATAGCCAATACCCTTCAAGGAGCTCTGATAGCATAGTGGTTACAAATCGGGCTGCTAACATCAAGATCAGCAGTTCAAAACTACCAGCCATTCAGCAGGAGAAAGATGAGGCTTTCTGCTCCTGTAAAGATTTACAGACTCGGAAACCCTGTACAGGGTCGCTATGAGTTAGAACTGACTCCATGGTACTTAACAATAACAACCCTTCAAGAATGAAGGTTTGGATCATACAAACAGCTGAGGTGCTTGCCGAATATGGAATGGGTACTGGAAGAAGGTAGTTCTAAATGCAAGCTACAGCTATGTGACCAATAGCAGAAACAAGGGTTGTAATTGTTATGAGCACATATATACATACTGTTTCATATACATGTATCAAATATTTTTGATTTGTTCATTTGTGAAAATATAGAAGAGGTAAATGGGGCCAATGCATTGTCAGCTGTAAGCATTTTAGTTATCTCATGTTAGGCACAAGTATGACTTTACAGTTGTCTTTATTTAAAGAGAATGCATATGATTTATAGATGCCAAACTGACAAAGGGTGAACAGTGATAGTTAAGGTTTTGTGTCAAATTGACTGGGCCAGGATTCCAGTGGTTTGGCAACTGAGATGCAGTTATCCCCAAGGTAAGATCTAATACAATGTAGTAAACTCTATGATGATTGGCTATGAACAGTATAGGTAACTGCTTGATGACTGGCTGTGATCAGCCAATCAACTGAAAGAATGTTTCCTCTGGGGTGTGGTTTGCTCCCAATATAATGGACACTCAAGCAAAGCTTGTTCACTTTCTGTTAGCCACGTTGCATATGGCTCATCCTCCAACCTGTGGTTCTTTGGACAGGTATTGTTATCTGCCTGCCTGCCTTCCAGACCTGCCTGCTTATTTATCTGTAGGGCCTGTAAGTCTCTGTCTGCCTGCTGGACCTGCATGTTAATCATGGTTCATCTGGCCCAGACTTGGACTCTCCCACCTCTACAATTGTGTGGTATTTCCTTGATATAAATTCCTCTTTATACATATACATACATAAGTTTCACTGGTTTTGCTTCTTTAGAAAACCCAGTCTTAAACTGTGTCCCATAGGGTCCCTGAGAGTTAGAAACAATGTGCTGGCGATGGGTTTAATGTTTATGGGAGCAATCAACAGGTCCTTTCTTCTGAGGGCAGTTAGCAGCTGACGCTTAACCACTATGCCAGCAGGGCTCCTGATAGCTAAATTAGACTGAAACCAACCAAACAAACTAACAAAAGACATTGCTTTCAAATAGATCCTAACTCACAGTGACCCTATAGGACCAAGTAGAACTGCCCCCGTAGGGTTTCCAAGGTCATAACCTAACCTTTACAGAAGTTTGACTGCCACGTCTTTCCCCATGGAATGGGCTAGTTGGTTCAAACTTCCAACCTGCCAGTTAGCTGTCACGAAGCTTGACCACTGAGCCACCAAGCTTCCTTACATTGTTGCTGTTGTTGTTAAGTGCCACCCAGTTAAGTGCTGACTCATAGCAGCCCTGTATATGGTTTCAGAGGAGTGGCTGGTGGGTTTGAACTGCAGATCTTGTGGTTCAAAATGACCTTGCAGTCCAGTGCTTATGCTACAGCACCATACTAGGACTCCCAAGGACTATATATTCTATTGCTTCCATTTGATTCAGGTTTGTTTTTGTTGTTTTTTTAACTGTTGTCAGCAGGGGGAGAAGTACTTTCAAGATAGTAAATATTGGTTATTTTTGGTGGGAAAAGAGGCACCAAATGTGGGTGTAGTATGCACAGCAAGACAACATTAAACAATGCCCGTGAGAAGAGTTCATGACAAAAGGATGTCTGTACCAAAGAATCTGACACATATAGAGATTGCAGCAAACCCAAACGAACGCCAAAAACTGAGTCTAAGCTCATATACACAACAACACAACCAACAGTTGATGGAACCAATTTGTATATCTAAATCTACATCTTGAATCTAAAGTCTCACCATATCTCACTACAGCCTGCTAGAAACATAAATAAGCTAACAGAGAAACACAAGTCAAATCACCATAACTCATAAAGCTAATTTCAGGTGATGTTTTAATAGGTGTTTAACAAGGAGCTCTGGTAGCGTAGTGGTTACGAATCGGGCTGCGAACCTTAAGGTCAGCGGTTCGAAACTACCAGCCGCTCCGCGGGAGAAAG